GGTATGGAGAATGTCTATCCATGTTCTGTCACCCGGAAAAGAAGCAGAGGTAAAGGGAGCTGCAGAGACCAATTGGTAGTGTTATCCTCTTTTGGTTACTTCATGCTGCTCCAACAGAAATACCACAGGTGGATAGCTGCAACAAACAGGAGTTTATTCTCTTTAAATTTAGGAGGCTAGAAGTCCAAGTTCAAAGTGCCAAGCTCTAAGGGCTGGGTGAAAGCCCCTCAATTTTGGGCTTCAGCTCTGTTTCTTGCTCCCAACACACTGAAGATGGAGGACTTTCTTAACTCAGGCAGCTGCTGGCTACTGAGGCTGACAAACACAAGGTTGACAAATAAAATAGCACAGTCCAAAGATTATCAAGCAACACAACAGGCCACTACTTCAAACCCAGAAACAGTCCCAAGATCGGCAGACAACGTGACAGGCCACACTCACTGATGACTCAGCCAAACGCAGGATCCAAATGTCCCAAGAAACTACAGAGACCTTTCTCAAAAACTTCTCCCTATATACTGGAAGCAGACCACATCCCTAAGGGAGATACTCAACTGCTCCAGTAGATTCCACCATGGAGATGATTACCAATATTATCACTGGGAATAACTACAACCAGCTGCCCAGCCACTCAAAACCAGGTCCAACCAAATTGACATGTAACCTTAACTACCACATAGCCCAACAAGCTCCTCACAGGCCTTTCCTGTATTCACCTGAGCTCTTGAGGGAGCTCAGCTTCTCCTTTGCTAAACGAGGCTTCCTAAATAATTCTTATGTGCAACCAGATATGGGAACCATTGGTACAGGTTTGAAAGCAAAATGATCCTTTTAGTTTATAAAACTTTTCAAATAAAGATACATTTCCTTTATATTAGCCATAAAGTAAAGCATCTTCCAAGCTAAACAAAATTTTAATTATTACATGATATACAACCACTAAGCCAGTTTCAGAAAAAATTTCATATTTCAATTTATTTCTAAGGAGACTTCAAAAATAAATGTTTTTTTTCCTTAACTCTACTCTCTAAATTTATATTTAAACAAGATACATATTTTATGACACTAAAATTATGGCTTTTTTCTGCATTAGTGTTTTGTAAGACAAAATCCACAGCCATCAAGTCAATTGACTCATGGCAATCCTATAGAATGCAGCAGAACTGTCCCACAGGTTTTCCAAAGCTATTGGTCTTCACAGAAGCACACTGCCTCATCTTCCTCTTGCAGAGCTGCTGCTAGGTTCGGTACTGAACTTTTGGTTAGCAGCTGAATGCCTTAATCATTGTGCAACCGGAGACTAATTAGAAAGAGGAAAATAAACACTTTCAATTGCTGGTTTCTACCTCATTATCTCTTTTGTCATAAGATAATGCTATAGCAATTAATGTTTGAGTATAAGTAACATATAATTTTGACATTTTCCATAATTTTGAGAAATTTTTCAGTACTATACATTAAAAAAATCAATTACAAATACACAGACACGTTTTATAAAAAATACATTTTTTAGATAAAGGGAAAATTTTAAAATATTGTTGTCGTTAGGTGCCGTCAAGTTGGCTGTGACTCATTGTGACCCTACGTACAAAAGAATGAAACACTGCCTGGTCCTATGCTGTCCTCACAGGCTTTGCTATGCTTCAGCCCATCGTTGCAGTCAATGTGTCAATCCATCTCCTTGAGGGTCTTCCCCTTTTTGGCTGACCTACTTTAACAAGCATGATAGCCTTCTCCAGGGACTGGTCCCTCCTGATAACATACAAGAGACGAAGTCTGTCCATTCTCGCTTCTATGGAGCATTCGGATTATTTCTTCCAAGACAGATGTGTTCATTCTTCTGGCAGTCCATGGTATACTCAATATTCTTCACCAACACCATAATTCAAATGCATCAATTCTCCTTCAGTCTTTCTTATTCAATTGTCCAGCTTTCACGTGCATACAAGGCTATTAAAAACACAACTGTTTGAGCCTGAGGAACCTTTGTCTTCAAAGTAAAATCTTTGCTCTTTAACACTTTAAAGAAGTCTTTTGAAGCAGTTTTGCCCAGTGCAATCCACTGATTTTCTGAGCGCTACATCCATGAGTATTGATTGTGGATCCATGTAAAATGAAATCCCTGATAACTTGAAGCTTTTCGCCATTTATTGTGATGTTGCTTATTGGCCCATTTGTGGGGAGTTTTGTTTTCCTTATGTTGAGCTCTAATCCATACTGAAGGCTGTAGTCTCTGATCTTCATCATAAGTGCTTCAAGTCGTCTTCACTTTCAGCAAGCAAGGTTGTGTCATCTGAATATTGCAGGCTGTTAATGAGTTTTCCAATGCTGATGCCATATTCCCTTTCATATAGTCCAGCTTCTCAGATTATTTGCTAAGCATACAGACTGAATAAGTACGGTGAAAGGATACAACCTGGACACACACCTTTACTGATTTCAAACCATGCAGTATCCCCTTGTTCTGTTCAAATAACTGCCTCTTAGTTCATGTACAGATTCCTCATAACTATAAAGAAATATTCTGGAATTCCCATTCTTTGCAATGTTATTTATAATTTGTTATGATCTACATAGTCAAATGCCTTTGCATAGTCAATAAAACACAAGTAAACATCTTTCTGGTATTCTTTCCTTTCAGCCAAGATCCATCTGCCATCAGCAATGATATCTCTTGTTCCACTGCCCTCTTCTGAATCTGGCCTGAATTTCTGAAGTTCCTTGTCAATGTACTGCTGCAACCATTTTTGATTCTTGTGAGCAAAATGTGCGTGTTGTTAATGATACTGGTTGATAATTTTCACACACTGTTGGGTCACCTTTCTTTGGAATGGGCACAAATATGGATCTCTTCCAGTCTTTTGGCCAGGTAGCAGTCTTCCAAATTTCTTGGCCTAAACAAGTGAGCACTTCCAGCATTGTATTCATTTGTTAAAACATCTCAATAAATATTCCATGAATTCCTGGAGCCTTGTTTTTCACCAATTCCTTCAGCGCACTTTGGACTTCTTCCTTCGTTACCACCAGTTCTTGATCTATACTACCTCCTGAAATGGTTGAACATTGACCAATTCTTTTTGGTACAGTAACTGTATGTATTTCTTCCATCTTCTTTTGATGCTTTCTGCATCGTTCAATATTTTACCCATAGAATCCTTCAAGATTGGAACCCAAGTCTTGAATTTCTTCTTCAGTTCTTTCAGCTTGATATATACCAAGTGTGTTCCTTCCTTTTCATTCCTAACTCCAGATCTTTGCACATTTCAATACTTTGTCTTCTCAAGCTACCCTTTGAAATCTTCTGTTCAGTTTACTTTATCATTTCTTTCATTCACTTTAGCTATGTTCCATTCAAGGGCAACTTTCAGAGTCTCCTCTGGCATCCATTTTGGTCTTTTCTTTCTTTTTAATGACCTTCTGCTTTCTTCACATATATCTTAATGTCATCAAACAATTCATCTGGTCTTCTGTCACTGGTGTTCAATGGGTCAAATCTATTTTTCAGATGGTCACTTAAGTTCACATGGGACATACCCAAGCTTGTATCTTGGCACTCGTGGATTTGCTTTACTTCCTTTCAGCTTCAACTTGAACTTGCATATAAGCAATTCATGTGGGTTCTACAGTTGGCCCCTGGCCTTGTTCTAACTGATGATATTGAGCATCTCCACTGTATCTTTCCATGTTGTTGTTGTTGTTATGTGCTGTTGAGTTGGATCCAACTCATAGCGACCCCTCCTTGGGTTTCCGAGGAGATATCACTACAAAAGTAGATTGCCCAAACTTCCTTCCTAGGAGTGGCTGGTGGATTTGAACCATCAGCCTTCTGGTTAGCAGTCAAGTGCCTAGGCACTATGCTACCAGAGTTCCCATATCTTTTCATAGATATAGTGAATTTAATACCTGTGTGTCCCATCTGGCACAATCCATAGTTGCTACTTATGTTGTTGAAAAAAGGTCCTTGCAACAAACAAGTCGTTGGTCTAGCAAAATTCTATCATGTGATCTCTGGCATCATTTCTTTCACCAAGACCGTATTTTCCAGTTACCAATGCTTCCACTTCGTTTCCAACTTGCACATTCCAATCACCAGTAATTATCAATACATCCTGATTGCATGTTTGATCAATTTCAGACTATAGAAGTTGGTAAAAATCTTCAATTTCTTCAACTTTGGCTTTAATGATTGGTACATAAATTTGAAAAATAGTAGTATTAACTGGTCTCCCTTATAGATATATGGATATTATCCCATCACTGAAGCAAAGCACTTCAAGAGAGATCTTGAAATGCTCTTTCTGATGATGAATACAGTGCCATTCCTCTTTGTCATTCCTGGCAGAATAGACCATATGATTGTCCAATACAAAATGGCCAATACCAACCCATTTCAGCTTACTAATACCTAGGATAATGATCTTTACACATTTCATTTCATTTTTGACAACTTTCAATTTTCCTAGATTCATACTTTGTACATTCCATGCTCCGATCATTAATGAGTATTTGCAGTTTTTCTTCTCATTGTGAGTTGTGCCCCATCAGCAAATGAAGGTCCTGAAAGCTTTACTCTACCCACATCATTTAAGGTCAACTCTACTTTGAGAAGGCAGATCTTCCCCAGTCATATTTTGTGTGTCTTCCAACCTGAGGGGCCCATCTTCTGGTACTACATCAGACAATGTTTCACTACTATTCATAAGGTTGTCAGTGGCCAATTTTTTTTAGAAGTAGATTGCCAGGTCCTCCTTCCTAGTCCACCTCAGTCCAAAGCTCCGCTGAAACCTGTCCACCGTAGGTGATCCTGCTGGGATTTGAAATACCAGTGGCATAGCCTCTAGCATCACAGCAACATGTAAGCCACCATGGTACAACAAACTGACAGGCTATATAATCAAAAAGTCAATTACAAATACACATAGACACATCTTATAAAAATACATTTTAAAGAAATGGGAAAATTTTAAAATACTGGATATTACTCTGAAGGTGCCTTGGTATTATGAAGAGGCTTTGATTCCTTTATCTTTATCAGGATATTCTTCCACATCAGAAGAGAACATCAGCTCTATGGGAGAAGTCGAATAGATCATAATTAAAACTGTTTCCCAGTATCTCAAAAAGCGTTTTTATAGCTTAACTATAAAAAAAGTCTTTTGAAATACTGACATAATACACAATAAAAGAAAGCCAGCCACCAACTACAAGAAAGAATTCTTGATAGAGAAACTTGATTTGAAAGATGAGCTAGTAACAAATGTACACATTTTACATTTTTATTAAATGTTCAAATTTTAAATTTATGAGAAACCTCTGAAAACTAAAACATGTAATAGCAATATAAGAAACTTACCAGCAAATTTAAGTTACTTAGAGAATCCATGAAAATGAAAGTCATACAGCTAAAAGGTCTAATTCTATAGTGATAGTATAAAACATAGGGTATAGAAGTTGAGGATTTGGAACTAACATCAGGTGTGTGCAGGGGGATCTTAAATGTGTTATCCCATTTAATTGCCTAACAACTTAATAAGCTAGGTAATATCATCTCATTTTACATTTAATATTTTATCCACACAGAAATAAAATGTTATATAATTTATATGGCCCTAAGAGAGAATGGTATCTGGAAATACTATTAGTAAATAACACATATTTTGTGATTCAGACTGAATACTGCATAAACCAGCTAGATGCAACTTCAGTCCCAAACACAGTGAAGAATATTTTTTGCTGACACCTCTACATTTAAGTTGTTATTTAGTGTACACAGGTAATTTATTAGAATACAAAGAAATATGGAGAAAAAATTAAGAATCTAGTAAAATATAGGCCTGTGATATAAGCATTAAATGAAAAAAAAAACTTTAAATAATGAAAAACTACCATGAATGAGAAAAAAACAGTAAAACATATAAACACTAAGATGATGTTTTCAAATATGTTAAATACATTGAAAAGACTAAATCAACAGGATATTCAATGTGGCAACATGATAATTATTATGTTCACAGATACATTTATGATGAAAAAATACAAGATTATGCTGCCTTGGTTTTTAAAATGGAAATGTTGGGAAGATTCTCAAATCTAAAACAGGTAAGTTGTAATTAGTAGATCAAAATGCACTTAAATGCTCAGGATGTTTAAAAACTCAAGGATAAGGTAAAAACCAAAGACCAGATAACATTCATAAAAGCGATTCAAGGGTAGAATTGTAGAACACTTGCCAAGGTCACACAACTTAACACTAAAAATGCTAAGCACCTCCTAAAGCAGTGCTAAGTGACTAGCAGTTTGCTGACACGTTCTTCTTCCAAGGTGCTTTAAAAGAGGGTTGGAGACTAGAGATTAGTCCCCTCTTCATACTGGGCACAGTAAAAGTAGGATCACTAAGCACTTTATTAGACCATGGAGGGCAAAGAATTTGTGCCATGCAGAGAAGGAGGTAAGAATAATTCACTTGACTATGTGTCTGACACAAAGAGGCTATATGCATGAAGCATAATCTATTTCAAATGAAGAGATATGTTGATCAGAAAGGGACTAAGAGACATGAAGAGCAAAGCCTTTCTATAAAGTACTTGAAGGGTTAAAAAATAAATACCCCCTAAACATGCACAAGGGCCACAGGGAGCCCTCGTTGAGGACTCCCAGACTCCAGCTCTCTAGGCACTCTGCCCTGCTTTGCTTGGCATTCTGTTTCACTGTTTATTTTCACTCTTTTTGAGTTATGGTGTTTTAAATATGTTTTGGTATCAGAATATTATAAGCCATAAATATAAATATAGAAGATTTCCAGATATACTATTTTTTTCTTTCATACCTTCACTAAGATCCATGCCAGGCCTGTAAGATAAAAAGAGCCAAGATAATCCAACCAGAAGAGCTACCACCAGATTCACCACAATCCATGGCTGGAGAATCTGTTCCTCAATCCCTGCTGCCCTAAGGATATAGAAATATTGATTAGAAATGTCTTTATTTTGGTTCATATATCCAAATATAGGCATTTATGAACTTTAAGAACAAATAGCAAACAAAAAAAAAAAACACAACAAACAGCAATCCTCTTCTTGGGAAATAACAGATGAAGCATGAAAATTACCCTATAAAAGGAACATATGGTATATTATGAGAACAAAAATCCAAAGGTTATCTAACTTCAAATAGATCTGCTTTATATATTAATAGAAATGTAGCACTGACAAAAACCTTTTCTAAGTTTCACTTCCAACTACTCTGGCACTACTCTTCAGTGAAGCATATTTCCTTTCTTTCTTTACCCCATGCTCCTAGCCACTCTCTAAAGAAGACTGCCTTCTAAGTTTTGTGAACTGGAATCTCAGCCATCCTGTCGGTGTCATGGTTGGTCCGGAATCTGGATAGTGGCACTCTCCGTTCTGCTCACATCTAGTATTGCTTGGTTTTCTGAATCTATCCCAGTTACCCATTCCCATCACTATTCTGGGGTATTAGGCTCCCTGACTGGAGGTGAGGGTGCAGACTCCTCTAGTCCATCTTGTGATGACTATTTTAAAACTATAGCTTGCACTACAGGCAGACAGATGGGTAGACAGGCTGAATGATCATGTATGTATAGGCAGGGAGGAGTGTGCCCATGACCATGTACATGGTTGGCAGATGATGTTTCTACATGTGTACTTGTACATGCTATAAGAATGTCCAGGTGTACAATAGAGCTAATAAGGAGCAAGGCTATGGTGGCTTCTTGGCCACTGCCAGATGCCAAGGGAGCAAGTAGTTGGACCTATGGGCTTGGGACCATGGTCACAGGGGACAAGCTCAATTGGCATAACATACTGTACAAAAACATTGTTCTACTTCCTACTTTGATAAGTAGTGACTGGGGTCTTTAAAGCTTACAGCCATCTAGATGAAACAATGGGTCTCTCTTTGCCCAGAGCAAAGAAGAATAAAGAAAACCAAAGATGCACAGAAATAATTTGTCCAAGGGACTAGTAGACTATGTGATCCTCAGCCTATATGACCATGAGACCAGAAAAACTAGGTGGTGCCCAGCTATACCACTGTCAACTACTCAGAAAGGGATCAGGGCAGGAGATTCTGGATAGAGTAGGAGAACAGTGTGAAACAAAACTCAAAATCATAAAAAAAAAAAAAAAAAAAAGAGATCCGTTTTATAGTGTGATAAGAGCCTGGTGAGACCCCCGAGACTATGGCCCCTAGTTACCCTTCAGGTCTGGAACTGAACTCACTCCTGTGGCTTCCAGCCAAACAATATACAGGCACATGGAATGAACATTTACATCAGGTTGATACACACCTTGGAGCGATCAATTTATTGTGGGAGAACAGAAGGGCAGTGTTTGCACAGGGAGATAGCTTGGGGGGCGATAGCACATAGGACAGAAGGACACAGGGAAGAGGTAACTACAAAGAGGAAGTGAGAAGAGAGCTGTTAACATTGTGGGGAATTGCAGTCAATGTCATGAAACAAAATGTGTACAAAATGCTATGCTGTATGGAAAGTGAATTTCGTCATAAACTTTCACCCAAATCACAATAAACATTAAATAAATAACTAAATAAACTATAGCGTGCAGATCTAAAACCGATTTGTCGAAAGACAACATTTCATTAAAAATAGAGTTGGCCCACTAACTAGCAGGATAGGTATTTTCTTGCCATATTATTAGAAAAAAAAAACAGGGTCTTTATTTTTACTTGTACATGAAAATATGTAAAATATTAGAAGGTTAAGAAAAGTAACATTTATTTTCACTGTTACTGTTATTACCAACAATTGCTAATGCTATTGTCAATTCTTACCAGAGACTACCATTAACAGAAGAAGGTGTATAAAGGTGGATTCTGTCACTTGTCATTTGCTGACTCAGAGATAGTATAAGAGCAGTAAAGTACACTAAGAAAAAGACAAATGAAATTACTAATAATATACTTTTAACAACCCAGTTTATTTAGAATTAATAGGTTAAATACAAAAATAATCTGTACTTAAGTGAGTAATATATAAAAGAAATTCACTTAACTGATTTCAATAGATGGATAGCATAATATTTTTCAAGAATACAGGTGATAAAGGGTCTTTTAAGATGCTCACTAGTTATTCATTAGAACTGACAAATACCTAGATCTTTAAGAAATTAAATAACTTGCTGAAGGTCCTAAAATTAGTTTTATTAATATTTTCATAACTTAGAATAAATGTATCCAAATTATCAGAAAGATGTAAGATAATGTCTGTTACTAAAAAGTAATACCAGCAGAGTCAGTTTAATGTGAAATAGAAAATACAAAAGCTAAAAAATCTAAGTACTATAAGGCGAAATATTTAATTTTCATAAGTTACTGAGATCAACCTATATAGAAAAATAATTCTATCAAAATTATGCCTACCATGTTTTATTTTTCTTAATTACTAATACCACTATACATCTCTAAGTAACGTTTGTAAGTAGTAATAACATAAAACCTTTTTTAAAATGAAAATTGTATTTTTCCTGGCTCAAAAATAAAGTGTAACTCAAGTATTACATAGATATCACATTAAACTATTTGCTCACAGAAAGATGCTAGAGCTGTTGGATCCAGGGCAAGAAAACTTCGGAGTGCTACTGATGTTTTAGCAAAGTCGATCCTAGAAAATACAAAAGCCTCTTGTCATAGAGCAATTGTAACTAACAAACTTTATAGTTCTAGTGTTCTTCTTTATGCTACTACATAATTTGTGCATTACTAGGCTTTAAGTTTCACCACTCATCTGTCAATTTGTCATACTGTGGTAGCTTGCGTGTTGCTGTAATGCTGTGATACTGAAAGCCAATGGGATTTCAAATACCAGCAGGATCACCACGATAAACATATTTCAGTGGAGCTTCCAGAGTAAGGCAGACTGGGAAGGACTGGGCAGTCTACTTCTAAAAAAACTGGCCACTGAAAACCTTATGAATAGTAGTGAAACACTGTGAAACAGTGCCAGAAGATGAGCCCCTTGTGGTAGTTAAGGTTTTACGTCAGTTTGGTTAGGCCTGATTTTGAGTGGCTGGGCAGCTGGTGGTAGTTATTCTCCATGATGAGACTGGCAATCAACTCCATGGTGGAATCTGCCGCGAGCAGCTAAGTAGCTGCCTTAGGGATGTGGTCTCCTTCCCGTATATGAGGAGAAGCTTTGGGAATGGTCTACAGTTTTTTGGCATGCTTGACTCCTGCATGTAGTCAAGTCGTTATTCAGCAGCCTACCATATTGAGCTCTGGTAGCATAGTGCCTAAGGCACTTGACTGCTCACCAGAAGGCTGGCGGTTCAAAACCCACCAGCCACTCCTCAGAAGAAGGTTGGGCAATCCTACTTCCGTAGTGATACTGCCTCGGAAACCCAAGGAGGGGTAGCTATGAGTCAGGGTCGACTTGACGGCAAACAACAACAACCATATTGTCTGCCAATCTCGTGATGGACCTGAATCAATGGCCTGCAGTGTGGTTTGGCAATATCGGGACTGTGCCCTTTTACTTGTTGACCTTAGGTTTGTCAGCCTCAGCAGCCAGCAGCTGCCTGAGTGAAAAAAGCCTCCAACTTCAGTGGGCTGGGAGCAAAAGGCAGAGCTAAAGTCCAAGGTTGCAGGGCTTTCACCCATCCCCTAGAGTCTGGCACTTTGAACTCAGATTCTAGCCTCCAAAACTGTAAAAGAATAAACTCCTGTTTGTTAAAGCCATCCCATTAGTGGTATATTCCTTTCAGAGTGGCACTAGGTAACTAAAACACCCCTCAAGTTGGAAGGCACTCAAAATATGACTAGCAAAGAGCTGCCTCCTCAAAACAGAGTCAACTTTAATGGTGTGGATACAGTAAAGTTTTCAGGGCCTTCATCTGCTGATATAGCAAGATTCAAAATGAGAAGGAACAGGTGCAAACCTTTATTAATAATTAGAACAGAAAACGTATGAAGTATGAATCTAGGAAAACTGGAAATTGTCAAAAATGAAATGGAGCACATAAAAAAATCAACATCCTAGGCATTAGTGAGCCGAAATGGACTGGTATTGGCCATTTTGAATCAGACAATCATATGGTTACTGAGGTGGTTATGTTTGTGAGTCAACTTGGCTAGGCCTGGTTGAGTGGCTGGGCAGCTGGATGTAGTATTCCCCATGATGAGACTGGTAATCAACTTCATGGCGGAATCTACTGTGAGCAGCTGAGTAGCTGCCTTTGGGTATGTGGTCTGCTTCCTGTATATAAGGAGAAGCTTTGAAAAAGGCCTCTAGCCTATGGCACACTTGGACCCTGCATGTAGCCATGTCGTTGTTCAGCAGCCTGCTATGCTCTGCCGACCTGGGGACATTCAATGGACTTAAGTTAATGGCCTGCCGTGTGGTTTGGTAACATCGGGACTATGCCTTTATACTTGCCAACCTTGTGGCTTCTCAGCCTCAGCAGCCTGCAGTTGTCTGAGTGAAGAAATGCCTCTAGCTCCAGTGGGCCGGGAGCAGGAGGCAGAGCTGGACCCTAAGGTTGAGGAGTTTTCACCCAGCCCCTAGAGCCTGGCACTTTGAACTTGGACTTAAAGCCTCCAAATTGTAAGAATAAACTCCTGTTTGTTAAGGCCATCCCATTTGTGGTATGTTTCCTGTCAGAGTGGCACAAGAAACCAGAACAGTTACTAAGCCAGGAATGACAAATTGTAGAGGAATGGCATTGCATTCATCGTCAAAAAGGTCATTTCAAGATCTATTCTGAAGCACAATACTATCAGTGACAGGATAATATCCATATGCCTACAAGGAAGACCAGGTAATACTACATTATTAAAATTTACGTGCCAACCACTGAAGCCAAAGATGAAGAAATTGAAGATTCTTACCAACTTCTGAAGTGTAAAATCGACAAACAATGCAATCAAGATATGATGGCAGTGGGTGGGTGAGTGAATGGAATATGAAAGTTAAAACAAAGAAAAAGAGCATGGGTGGTTGGAAAATATGGTCTTGGCGATAGAAACGACACTGGAGATTGCATGACAGAATTTTGCAAGACCAATGACTTATTCATTGCAAATAAATTTTTAACAACATAAATGACAGCTATACACATGGACCTCACCAGATGGTATACACAGGAATCAAATCGACTACATCTGTAGACAGGTGCAATGGAGAAGCTCAGTATCGTTAGTCAGAATAAAGCCAGGAGATGACTATAGAATAGACCATCAATTATTCATGTGCAAGTTCAAGCTGAAGCTGAAAAAAATTAAAGCAAGTCTATGAGAGCCAAAATACGACCTTGATTATATCCCACCTGAATTTAGAGGCCATCTGAAGATTTGACTCACTGAACACAAATGACAGAAGACCAGATTGAGTTGTGGGATGACATCAAGAACATTATACACGAAGAAAGCAAAAGGTTATTAAAAGGACAGGAAAGGAAGACCAAAATGATGTCAGAAAAGACTCTGAAACTTGCTCTTGAATGGATAGTGGCTAAAGTGAATGTAAGAAAGGATGAAATAAAAGAGGTGAACAGAAGATTTCAAAGGGTTGCTGGAGAAGACAAAGTAAAGTATTATAATGACGTTTGCAAAGACATAGAACTGGAAAACCAAAAGGGAACACACTCAGCATTTCTCAAGCTGAAAGAACTAAGAAAAAATTCAAGCCTCGAATTGCAATATTGGAGGATTTTATGGGCAAAATATTGAACGATGCAGAGCTCATCAAAAGATGGAAGGAATACACAGAGTCATTATACCAAAAGTAACTGGTTGACAAACCAATGATATTGAAGGAAGAAGTCCAAAATGCACTGAAGGTATTGTTGAAAAACAAGGCTCCAGAAATTGACAAAATAACTTAAGATGTTTCAACAAATGAATACAATGCTGAAAGAGCTCACTCTTTTATGCAAAGAAATTTGGAAGAACGCTACCTGGCCTATGTATAGGAGGAGATCCATAGCTCTACCTACCACAAATCTGTCCTGGAGGAAGTGCAGCCACAATGCTCCTCAGAAATGAGAACGACCAGACTCTCTCACCTACTTTGGTCATGTGGTCAAAAGGGACCATTCCCTAGAGAAGGATATCATGCTTGATAAAGTAGAAAGTCAGTGAAAAAGAGGAAGGCCCTCAAAAAGATGGATTGACACAGTGGCTGCAACGATGGACTCAGGTATAACAAGGACTGTGAGGATGGCACATGAGCAGGCAGTGTTTTGTTTTGTAAACTGTGTCACTATGAGTTGGAGTCAACTCAATGGCACCTAAAAACGACAACAAAGAAAGGTAATACAAAAATGTGTGGAAATTATCAAACAGTATCATTAATACCACACACAAGTAAAACTTTGCTGAAAAGAATCCAAAAACGGTTGCAGCAATACATTCACAGGTAACTTCCAGAAATTCAAGCCTTATGCAGAAATGAGTATGGAACAAGGGATATCATTGCTGATATCAGATGGATCTTGGCTGAAAGCAAAGTATACCAGAAAGATGTTTACCTGTGTTTTATTGACTATGCAAAGGCATCTGACTGTGTGGATCATAACAAATTATGGATAACACTGTGAAGAATGGGGATTCCAGAATACTTCATTGTGCTCATGATGAACCTGTACATAGACCAATAGGCAGTTGTTCGAGTAGAACAAGAGGACGCTGCACGGTTTAAAATCAGGAAATGTGTGCATCAGGGTTGTATTCTTTCACTATACTTATTCAATCTGTATGCGAAGCAAATAAACTGAGAAGCTGGACTATCTGAAAGGGAATGTGGCATCAGGATTGGAGGAAGACCCATTAACAACCTGCGATATACAGATGAAACAACCTTGCTTGCTTAAAGTGAAGAAGACTTGAAGTACTTACTGATGAAGATCAAAGACTATAGCCTTCAGTATGGATTACACCTCAAGGGAAAAAACCTCACAAATGGACCAATAAGTAACATCATGATAAATGGAGAAAAGCTTCAAGTTGTCAAGGATTTCATTTTACTTGTATCTTGACTTATATCCACAATCAACATCTATGAAAGCAATACTCAAGAAATCACACAACGTATTGCACTGGACAAATCTGCTTCAAAAGACCCCTTTAAAGTGTTAAAGAACAAAGATGTTTACTTTGAAGACTCAGGTGTGCCTGACCCAAGCCATGGTCTTTTCAATAGCCTCATATGCATGTGAAAGCTGGACAATGCAGAGGAATTGATGCATTTGAATTGTGGTGTTGGTGAAGAATATGGAAAATACCATGGACTGCCAGAAGAATGGACAAATCTGTCTTGGAAGAGGGAGAGTCAGAATGCTCCGTAGGAAGCAAGAATGATCAGATTTCATCTCACGCACTTTGGTCATGGTGTCAGAAGGGACCAGTCCCTGGAGAAGTATCATGCTTGGTAAAGCAGAGGGTCAGCAAAAAAGAAAAAGACCTCCACGGAGATGGACTGACACAGTGGCTGCAAGGAGGGGCTCAAGCATAGCAAAGATTTGTGACAGTACCTGACTAGGGAGTGCTTTGTTCTGTCCCACATATGGTCACTATGAGTTGGAATCAACTTGACGGGAACTAACAATAACAACAGGCTTTAAGTTGTTACAGTTTATACTTAACATATATGAAAGAATATCTTATTTACAAGTGACATATAAAACATTTAACTAGAGACTATTTTAGGCATTCCTTTAGAGTTAAAAAGTCCTGAAGAAACAATTAAATTTTATCTGCAAAATTTCATTAGCTTCTACCTTCTTCTATCATCCTATCATCAGGATGTAATAACTTGTTTTTTAATGATGCTGATATCACAGAAGTTTTTGTTCACTATAGCCCTGTTCGCTCAAAAAAACAAAACAAAACACAATAAAAATAACAGAAAAAGACTTTTTAAAAAAGTCAAAATGGTATTAAAATCCTATAACTTCATTTTGAAACTTTCAGAGTGAGTCAGTGAAATATTGAGTTCAACATTTCTTCCTGAAGAGAAGTTAGAGGGATCTGCAATCACAAGTCTTACCTGTCAAAAGCTGAAATTGTACTTAGAGCCAAAAGCAAGTAGAGAAGACTCTGGAATGGATATGCTAAGTTCTTGTACTGTTGCAGAAGGTTTGAGAGGTTTGATAGCTGATCTCCTGCCAGAACATATATAACAACAATATTCCACACAGCGCAGCCTGCCAAGAAGCCATGAGAAAAGAGACCAATCATCCTGAAAGAAAAAGAATTACTAAAGTAAAAAAGCTGAAATATTTTTTAAAATCTGTACATTTAAGAACAAAATTCAACATTTTAGAAAAATAAAAACAAGTATTTTCTTTTTTTTTTTTATTAGGATTTGGGTGAAGATCCACAGAGCAAACTCACCTTTCACACAGCAGTTCACATACACCCTGTCTCATGTCATTGACCAAAATTTACAATGCAGCAGCTCCCCTCCCACTTCCTCCCCACAGCCACCTCCCCCCAGCGTCCATCCCCCCACACTCTTCGAGAGGCCCATTTTCTGCCAACCCTGTATATGATCTTGGATACACTCTCCATTTAGACATACATAATTGTTTAGCTTGTTCACCCATCTATCCGTCCCTATACCCATATTTGCTTTCATTAACAACTCAGTATTGTATTTACAAAGGGGTTCATATTTGTTGTTTGTACTGCCCATGTAACTCTCTCTGTCTTTCTCATCCTCAATGCTGCCATATCGGTCACTCACATTTGGTACATTGCCCTTCTCTTCACCCAAATCAATATTTATCTCTATCTATCTAACAGCATTCCCTCCCCTTCCCTCCCACCCCTGGTAACCAACAAAGAAAATGTCCTCCAATATATAAACCTTTCCTTAACTTTCACAATAACGGACTAATACAATATTTGTCCTTTAAACAAGTATTTTCTTTTCACAATACTGGTTAGATCATTTACCTCTAATTCAGTATTTTTTTAAAAAAATATCTACATCATTTTAGGTTGTCAGTTTTGTTAACAGTATTAAACAAGCACTACAGAAGTAGATTGCCCAACCTTCACCCCTCGGAAGGAAGGTTGGGTAATCTACTTCCGTAATGATACTGCCTCAGAAACCCAAGGAGGGGTCACTATGAGTTGGGTCTGACTCAACGGGACAGAACAACAAACAATCAAGACTTTTTTAAAAAAAATTATGGAATCCAGTTACCATTTGCTTTACAAAAAGCTCAACAGAAGGAACCACCTGAAAGCCCGGTGCACTGAAAGTGCAACATCTCTGGTCGTCCAGGAAGGCTTCATGTCCAGTGACGTATCTATGTTTTCTGTGGTCTTAATCAACTCTGAGCGATCAGCAGCCTGGAACCGCCCTAAGAACACATAACACAATTATTAACAACTACCAAGGGAAAATCTGGCAGTTATTTTTACATTTCTACATTCAAGAACCCCAGACTAAGACTGAAATTTTGCCATTTTTCTATTTAAAAATTCTTCTTAACTCAGTCCCTATTTCCAAAGTTTTTTTTTTATTGTCTGAATATACTTTTTTCACTTCCATAAGAAATAAGCTATGTCAATGCACTTTCTTCTGACCCTCAAACAGATGCTAACGTAAAAGTTTTAAAAATCAATTCTATCTAATGAAATACAATAAGGAACTTCCAACCCAGAATAAAGTCTAGAAATCTTAAACATAATCAACTAGACCTTGGATAAGTCATTTAGCCTTTCCAGGCCATAGGTGTCTCACTAGCAAAGAATTCCAAGATCCCTTAGATGAGAATCAAAATTCTAAAACAATTTACACAAAGTCTAAATTACAAGTTTTTAAGGACTTTTATGTTTTGAATTAATTTTTTAGGCAGCATATCCACAGGAGTAGAATATGGTCATAATCATGCTTTGTTTTATACTTTTTTTTTTTACTACTACAACTCATCATCTTATAACCAGTACATGCTAGACAACTCAGAACTATTTTTCCAGATAATATATAGCTATAATGTTGTATTTATATTTGATACGGTAATACCATCATATATTTTCTCTCACTTATTTTTATTTATAGAATTTATATCATCACATGCCCCCTTACCATTGTCACTACCAATTGAGAAAACTGGGGAAGTAAAACAAAGTATAAAGAAATAGGCCCCAAATCCCATAATCCCACAACCCAGAGACAAACACTATTAATAATTTGATGTATTTCCTTCTAGACTTTTTTTCTTATGCATTTTTGTATAGTGTGTGTGGCGGTGAAGTTTCTGTGCAACTTGGCTGGGGCTGGTTGAGTGGCTGGGCAGCTGGTGGTACTTATTTCCCATGATGAGACTGGCAATCAACTCCATGGTGGGATCCACCACAAGCAGCTGAGTAGCTGCTTTAGGGATGTGGTCTGCTTCCAGTACATGAGCAGCAGCTTTGGGAATGGTCTCTAGCTTATGGCATGCTTGAACCCTGCATGTAGCTGTGTCGTTGTTCAGCAGACTGCCATGCTCTGCCGACCTTGAGGCTTAAAATGGACTTGAATTAATGGTCTGCCATGTGGTTTGGTAACATTGGGACTGTGTCATTTCATTTGTCAACCTTGGGCTTGTTAGCCTCAGCAGCCAGTAGCTGCCTGAGTGAGGAGATGCCTCTAGCTTCAGTGGGCCAGGAGCAAGAGGCAGAGCTGAAGCCCAAGGTTGAGGGGCTTTCACACAGCCCCTAAACCCTGGCACTTCAAACTCAGATTTCCAGCTTCCTGAACTGTAAAAGAATAAACTCCTGTTTGTTTAAGACCATCCCATTTGTGGTACATTCTCGTCAGAGCGGCACTAGGTAACCAGAACAGTGTGTTTATGTTCACTTTCATTAGGAACTGTTTATGCAATGACAAATTTTTCTGGAACATTATTTTCAATGTACAAAATATTTTATTGTATGCATATATCATAACTTATTGAAATTATTCTCCTTATATATCCCACTTAGGCTGTTTCATTTTTTTTGACTGTCATGAATAAAAGTTGTGATGATTAGCTTTGTGTATAAATTTTTATTGGTATTTCTACTTACATCCTTCATTGAAATTCCAGGAAGTATAATTCCTTAATGGAGCTCTGGTGGTATAGTGGTTAATGCATTCAGCTGCCAACCAAAAGGCTGGTGGTTTGAGCCCACCAGGCACTCCAAGGAAGAAACATGAAGCAGTTTGCTTTCATAAAGATTTACAGCCTTTGAGACCCTATGGGGGCAGTTCTACTCTGTTCTATAGGATTGCTATGAGTTGGAATTGATTTCATGACAGTGGGGTTTTTTCCAAAGTAATTCCTTCATCAAAGGATATCACTGTATAATTTTTAAAACAGTTCATGTCTCAAAATAAGGATGTACTTACGGCTTTTTTCCACAAATACTTTGCCAACAGGCTGGCTAATGCCAGTAGGTGCAGTGAATATAGACTGTTGTTCTGGAATATTTCGCTCCTCAGTAATTATATCTTCATCTTCTACTCCTAGCTCATTGGCATACTGTAATTCTGATTGCTGTGTTTTCCTGTAATTACGTAGAATGTAAGAAAAATGGAGGATTATTGAATTTTTACAGATTCACATCACAAGGTACCTGTGTATATAACAGAAAGAGCTCTTGACTTGAAGTCAAGAAATCTGGCTACTACTCCTGGTTATCTGCAGCACATCATCTACATTTCTGTGGGCTTCAGTTTTCTCATCTGGAAAATGAAGTAAATGAACTAGATTTTTAAGGTTCTTTTGAAATTTAAAATTAAATGACTCTGTATAGAAATTGATCACTATTTGTAGAATCATTTTTAAATACAGATAATAGTGGTATATAATTCAAGCCCAGGGCTTGGAGGCTGCTTTTCCCTTGGGTGTGGCTCTATATTAAGGCCGGAGCCAAGGGAGGCAGCCCTGAGGCTTGGAGGCTGCTTTGCACTTGGCTCTACATTAAGGCTAAGGCCTAAGGTTAGGTGGTCCCAGGACTTGGAGGCTGCTTTTCATTTGGGGGAGGCTTCATTTTAGGCCAGGTCTGAGGTGGGCAGGCCTGGGGCTGGGGGCTGCTTTTCACTTGGATGTGGCTGTATTTTAAGGCCAGGACCTGATACAGCTGGGCCGGGTCTCGGGCTGCTTTTTGCTTGGGGGCGGCTCTTTATTAAGGCTGGGGCCTGAGATAGGTGGGCCCAGGGCTTGGGGGCTGCTTTTTGATTAGGGTCAGCTCTTCATTAAAGCCAAGGTCTGAGGTAGGCAGGCTGGGGCTTTGAGGCTGCTTTTCATTTGGGGGCAGCTCTTTATTAAAACCATTGCCCAAGGTGGGCAGGTGCAGAGGGGTTAGGAACAACTAAGGGAGACGAACTTGTCTGTCAGTTTGTCGTCTTGTGGTGGCTTATATGTTGCTATGAGGCTGGAGGCTATACCACTGCATTGCAAAATACCAGCAGGGTAACTCAAGGTAGATAGATTTTAGCAGAGCTTCCAGGCTAAGACAGAGTTAGAAGAAGGAGGGGCTATCCACTTCTCAAAGAACTGGCCAGTGAAAAACCTTATAAACAGCAGTGAAACACTGATACATTACTGGAAAACTTTATGAATAGCCCTGAAACATTGTCCGATATAGTGCTGGAAGATGAGCCCATCAGGTCAGAAGGCACACAAAATTTGACTAGGGAACAGCTGACTCCTCAGAGTAGAGACAACCTTAACGATATGGATAGAGTAAAGCTTGTGGGACCTCCACTGGCATGACTCAAAATGAGTAGAAACAGATGCAAACATCCATTAATAATTGGAACATGGAATGTATGAAGTATGAATCTAGGAAAATTGGAAGTTGTCAAAAATGAAATGGAATGCATAAAGATCGATATCCTAGGCATCAGTGAGCTGAAATGGATTGGTTTTGGCCATTCTGAATCAGACAACCATATGATCTACTATGCTGGGAATGACAAATTGAAGAGGAATGGTGTAGCATTCATTGTCACAAAGACTGTTTCAAGATCTGTCCTGAAGTACAACACTGTCAGTGATAGGATCATATCCATATGCCTCCAAGAAAGACCAGTCAATACTACTATTATTCAAATTTATGCACCAACCATCACAACCAAAGATGAGGAAACTGAAGATTTCTACCAACTTCTGCAGTCTGAAATTGACCAAACATGAAATCAAGATGTGTTCATTATCACTGTCATTGTTGTTGTTATGTGCTGTCGAGTTGGACCCAACTCATAGCGACCCCTCCTTGGGTTGCCAAGGCAGTATCACTATGGAAGTAGATTGCTCCATCTTCCTTCCGAGGAGTGGCTGGTGGGTTTGAACCGCCAGCCTTCTGGTTAGCAGTCAAGTGCCTTAGGCACTATGCTACCAGAGCTCCCTCATTATCACTAGGGACTGGAATTCAAAAGTTAGAAACAAAGAAGAGTTATCAGGAGTTGGAAAATATGGCCTTGGCGATAGAAATGATGCTGGAGATCACATGACAGAATTTTGCAAGACCGACAACTTACTCATTGCAAATACCTTTTTTCAACATAAGCAAAGACTATATATGTGGGCTTCACCAAATGGAATACACAGGAATCAGATTGACTACATATGTGGCAAGATGCAATGGAGAAGTTCAATATCTTTGGCCAAAACAAGGCCAAGAGCTGACTGTGGAACAGACCATCAACTGCTCATATACATGTTCAACTTGAAGTTGAAGACAATTAAAAACAAGTCCACAAAAGCCAAACTATGACCTTGAAAATATCCCTCCTGAATTTAGAGACCATTTAAAGAATAGATTTGATGCACTGAACACCAATGAGCAAATACCAGAAGAACTGTGGGATGACATCAAGAGCATCATCCATGAAGAAAGCAAGAGGTCATCAAAAAGCAGGAAAAAACACCAAAATGGATGTCAGAAGAGACTCTGAAACCTGTCCTTGAGTGGACAGTAGCTAAAACAAATGGAAGAAATGACAAGATAAAAGAGTTGAACAGAAGATTTCAAAGAGCAGCTCAAGCAAAGCCAATTACTATAATGAAATGTGCAAATTCCTGGAGTTAGAAAACCAAAAGGGAAGAACATGCTCAGCATTTCTCAAGCTGAAAGAACTGAGGAAAAAATTTAAGCCTCAAGTTGCAATACTGA